ATTAATATTACATTCTTCTTCTTCTAGGTACTGTGTTCATTTAGGACATGGGCAATCATGGCTCTTCACAATTTCCTGTTCTTTGTAGCTCTTAGTAAATTTTGTTTTTTCCCTATCTCTCTAATCTCTTATCTGTCAACCATTTACACAAGCTTGTTTGTTAGGTTATGCATTGCTTTCCTCTATCCCACTTGTCTTCAATATGTCCTGTAAATATAAAATTTTCTAAGCCCACTTTCCTCATTATGTACTCTAGAAATTTCAACTCTTTCTGATGTTAAGTATAAGTGTCTGTTTTGTTTCCATTTTCTCTAAAACTTTATCATTGCTCACATGTTCAGTCCATGGTATCCTTCTGTATAACCATATTTCTGTTGCCTCAAGTCTCTTCTTCATCTGTGAGGAAATTGTCCATCATTCACTGCCATATGAGAGGACCACTAATTATATTAATTAGGGATTAATATTAATAAGTATTGTATATAGTATATTTATGTTCAATGCAAATAGTGTATAATAAATAGCATGTTTATGTTTAAGGAAAATTTAAATGACAGTTGTAAATAACTGAATAAATATAAAATACTTTATTTCTTATATTTTAAGAAATGCAAATGTGCTGAACTTATTTTCAGTTGTAGGGATCATCAATAATCACCAATCATATTTGGGTTAAACCAGTTTTGTTACTTCCATTCCATTTCAGATGTGTCCTAGTGGGAACTCTCACTATGATCATTTCTTACAGCACCTGGATCTATTGGAATAGAAATGCATTTTAAAAGATACCCAGCATCTCATTATATGATAATGCAGTTAGCATGTTGCTTATTAAATGAATATTGTTTTTCAGCTCTATGAAAACCAGGTAAGTTCTTTACCATTAATAGAAATTCATTTTATGCTGCCAACCCAAGAGGATATTATTTTGTACCAAGTACTGCTTGGAATAATCATGCCAGTGAGAATTTTTAAACTTCTAAAATAAGCAAGGAATTTTTGATTCCTTGAACAAAAAAGATGTGAAAAATTTTTTGAAATATAATAAATATGCCATACCACATAAACACTATACCAGAGGATTATACAGGAGTACTAATATATAATTGATATAATATTTACCTTGAGCATGAATATGTTATGTGAATATTTCAAAAGCCTGATGTGCTGGGACAATTCTGAGTATAGTACTCATTTTAGTACTGTGTCAATTGTCTGGGTAAGCAGAGAAAAGGTATTTTTGTTGGTCAATGTAATTAATATGAGACAAGGTTTCTCCAATCATGTGTATGTAAATAATGCAAAATCTTGACAGGCTAGAACAATTCTGGGTCCATATTTGGAATCAGCATACTTGATTTGGCCAAAAGCTTGCACTTTTATCCTTGTAGCAAAATAATAGAGAGCAACAAAGATTTTACAATTAGGCTGTGGGATGAGGTTGAAATAATAGAAAGAGAACATCATTGGAAAATACAAAAACTTAAGGAATCAGCACATATGCTAGACCATAAAAATCTCCTAAGCTGGCCAAGCATAGAAATGAATACAATATAGGAACCAGTAATATGGAGTGCTAGATAATAACAGCAAAATTGAAATATGCGCTCTTGTAAAAAATTGCTACTGAGACATTAAGTTTATAAGTCCCAAAATTCATACGCTGATGTCCTCAAGACACATGGTGGATAAAAGTGTTGGTTGGATCCAGTAACTTGACCCAAAGAATTTTGAGTTCAATATGACAATGTTGAACAAAAACTTGGAAAGTTGAGTTAAAGGGAAATAACTGAGACATTCTGAAGAGGCATGGTATGTGGAACTAGAACAATCTACCCTGGTGGATGAATTAAAGGGTTCAGTTCGAAATTCCAATCACCTGAAGAAGGCTGGAGGTAACGCAGAACATGGCAATAAAGATGAGGACAACAGTTCGAACAATGTAACTAATGTAAATTGGTTAACTAGTACTAATAGGTGTCACCACAAAGCAGCATGATTATATTCTTCAAGTCTTCAAGCCTTTTTAATTTCCATTTGCAAGAGATTTTATTCTCATTTTCTTACCATTTATTACTAACAATAGTCTTAAATTAGAAAAAATATAGAAAAAGCCACAAGTCAAACAAGAAATTGTAGTCATGCAATGGAAAGTCTATATATCCTTGCTCAAGTCTTGTGCTTCTAATTTATTTTTTAAAAAGTTTAATCATTCCTACATTTTTTCCAGTAAAAGCTCTGACCACATATGTGGTTATGCTTGCCATTTTATTCCATGGCAAGCCACATTTCTCAACACAATCCACAGCACATTCAAACAGGTCCTGACCAGTGGTTGTATTTTTCATTGATTTCAGACCAAGTAATTTCTCTGTAATTACAAAATTTGTATCAATTTCACAGATAAAAACAAGTAATTGTGCACTGTCTTCATTATCCATGCTCTCATTGAGAGCCAATGAAAACCAAACAAAGACTTTGCTTGCAGTGTTCAGCTGTTCTTCACTTCTTCACTTATTAAGTCAATGCACCATACTATTGTCTTTCTTGATAGTGAAATATTTTCAAATTTCCCTTTAACTTCAGGATGCACTACATGTGCACAATCCACCATGCACTGCTTCACAAACTCGCCATCTAAAAATGGCTTGTGTTTGGCAAGGTTGTAAGCTACAATGAAACTGGCCTCTGTAGCACTATCATGAAAACTAGCTTGCTTGACGAATATTGATTGTTGTTTCTTAAGCTTCGTAACATAATCTGCAGCATTTTTCTTATGTTCTTCCTCAGAAAAATTGTTGCAAAATTCTTCATGTTTAGTTTGATGGTGCCGTTTCAGATTATATTCCTTAAATGTGACAACTGTTTCATTGCAAATTAAGCATACTGCTTTATTACCTGTGTTGCAAAAGAAGTATTTGTGTATCCAGTTGTCAATATATACACGGCATTCATCACCAACCTTGTACTTTGAAGGATTCATGGTTCCATGAGGTGGGAAATTTACTGTTACAAGGACAAAATTGAAAGAGAAAAGGAAACGGAAAAGTGGGTAGGTTAACTGATTGCGCATGTGTAGCCCATTGTTAAACACAGGTCCGAATCTATAGCACAAGGAGGGCAAGTCTTGGCCCAAGGTGGCAGTTTACTTTGACCCGGTTATGAAATTTTAGATGTGCTTCTTTTTTTTTCAAATGTCTCAGCATGCCGCAAAAATCTCTGCATCGGGCTGCATGTGACCCACAGGCTACAGTTTGCCCAGGTCTGAATTAGGCTATTTCAGTTGATTGCCGAACAATGATTTAATTAGTGGTGCTTTCTCTAGCCTAATTAAATATTAGGTTGTACTACATTAAATATTAAATTTTGATTTTGTAAAATGCTATATTTTAAAAAAAAGAAAATGTTTTTCATTCAAGATATATAATTATTATAAAGGATCCATTTTCATCACAACATATTTTTTTTTTAAATGGTTATTATTGCTGTGTATAAAGCAGTAATAAGCACATCTCAAATTGAAACAGTTTCTGTTTTCTGATAATTTATGTTTATCAAATTATTTTTCTCCTTTCTTGTCACAGCCAAATGATAAAAAACTTATCAGAAGAGCTCCAATTGTTATTTTAGGCTTATCTTTGACAATTTTATTGCTGATCAAATTCATGGGTCTTCCTTGAAACTCAATTTCAATCTTTCCAGAACAAAATTTGTAAAATTGACTTTTCTAATGTTCTTTCTCCCAATGCTAAATTGACTTTCTTTTACTTCAGATGAATTTTTAAAACCTAGTGTAAACTCTTTCAAAAATGGTTGTTGTACTTGTTCCAGAGACAACATAATTGGAAAACAAAAAATTGTGAAATTAAGGAACAGACCATCTTGAAAAATGAAGTACCTCAGTAAAATAGTCAGATTGACAATAGCAGATGATACAATATGCATAAATAAATCCATCTTGATTAAAAATGTAATCATTATGGTCAAACTTAAAATAATCTAAGTAATAATTAAGTATTTTACCTTAAAGTTATCTATGAAAATGACAAAGTACTATGACAATTGAGGTAGAATGTACTTAGGTAGAATTATTTGAAATTATTTATTTATATTGTCAGGAAAAATTATTTGCAAATTGTAACTTTCTTTTGGCAGAGATCTTGATTTTTGATTGCTTAAAAGTAAGTGTATAAAACATTTGTGGTAATCTAATCTGTTTTAGTATTTCAATAGATGTAACAACACACATGATGTACTGGTTGTTGGTCAGCTTTGAAGACTGACTTCCATATGTCTTTGGTTGAATAACAGTAACAAAGTTTGAAAGTCCCTTTAATTGTATAAACAGTTTGTTTCTTTGTAAAACAATGAAAATGTAAAGTTATGGTTAAGAAATCTGCTTGTGAGAAATCTCTTTTTTTCTGGATCTTTTTTTCTCTGGCATTGATTGAAGACAATTTGTAGATAGTGATGATAGAGGGAATTAAAGCAATGATTTTCTTGGAGCCGCTGATATTTGACAATATGTTTTACATTGACATTGTATAGCAGGACCTCGGGAAAGGAAAGTGACATATTTTACTAAAATATTTTTAGAATTCCCCCAGGAGAACAAAAAGCATTTAAGAAAAAATATCCCAGTCCGAAGTGATTTAAAATATTATTCATTTCTTTTAATCTTTTGATTCTAAATGTTCTGTGTTAAGTTTTTATAGTCTGTGTTTTTCATTTGTAATATTTCAAGCAAAGAAATTTGCTTCATATGTTTTTAAAATCTGATGTGATGAACTTTATAAATTCTTTTTTTTTTTCATTTGATTTATATCATTTCTTCTTTTTATAGCTTCACTGACTTCTATATAAAAACAAAAAAAAAATGCCCCCTCCTTACATCCTAGTTATTCTGTTCCTATCCAATGCTAAGGGATTTTTGCCCCTACATTTCTTTTGGATGCTTTATTACTTCCATGTATAATTTGGCCCCTTTGTTTTCCAGAGCAATGCTGTCGGATTCCACCCCTTTACGCAGGTTGTGCCTTTTCTCTCCTTGCATGCTACTTTCTGTGTTGTCTCACACACTCACCCGGTTTCACTTTTATTCTTATCACATTAACACTCTCATGTGTTTTTTCTTCTCTTCTTGTTCCTATTCACACTACTCTCTTTCAGATCCCCTTTTCCTCATACCAACCTCATTCTCCTCCTCCCTATATCAGATGTCTTACCCTCTTTCCCTTTCCCTTCCCTCTTCCATTTTACTCTTTCTCTCTCTCTCTCTCTCTGTCAATGTGCTTCTTTCTAAACCAAGGCACACTCACAATTCCAATAAAATGTTTTCTTTTTTCCATAATTGCTGATATCAGTGTTGTCTCTTTTGCTTAATCTTTTCCCCAACTCTTTGATTGCTTTCTTTACATCAAAGCCACAATAATATAAACTGAAAGAAAATATGCTTTTTTATTTATTTATTTTTTGCTTGGCCAGTTTAGATAATTCCACATCAGTAGTCATGTTGTATAATGAAGCAAGACTCAGATTCGCTAAATTATTTGCTGCCTGTTAGGGTCAAAAACATCCGTAAAAGGCCATCCATACCCAAATCACAGCTCAGTTACCATACAGACACTTTTAAACAAAATGACTTTCACTAAAACCACTTGCTACCACTTGTAGTTTACAAACCTTTAAATGTACCTTTCTAGTATAAGTCTTGAATCCTTTTTCTAATCAACAGAAAAGGGTGCTTAATGCTTGAGCAAGGTCAAACTTCATCTTTATCAAAACACAAAGAAATTTATACCAAATAGAGCTATTTCATCTAAATCTAAATTTTGTTATTGTTTTTGTTTTACCAGCAGAAATAAACTTAGTTATTTCTTCTGCAAATCTGATAACTGCTTTTATACTTTTTTGAGGAAAGATGAATAGTATAATCAAATTAATTTTGGAGTCTCTGCTATAGCAAGTCCTTCATAGCATTTCTAAGCAAAGTGATTTATTTTTTGGTACTTATTTCCTCTTCAAGTAATATAAGACTGAGTTACATGGTACAAGTAACAAGGAAGAATTCATGGCCTAACTAGATTTTTCTCTGTCTAGGACAAGGGGAAAATCTTGGTAATGCTTTGTAACATGAGACTGGTAATACTAGTCTATTAGTACCAGCTGCACTTTTATCTATCATCATATGACGGTGACAATACATTTGTCAAAACCTTTGGTACAGAATAAAGTGGATACATGTCTTCACTAAGCAGCCTCAAATAGAATTCAAACTTGGTTTGATTTCTTCATGTTCATAACTGTTACACTATATTGGTCCCCCCATAAAAGAATATGACAATTTAATACTCACTGCAGGTATCAAATTGATTATCCCTTATACTTTGATTTTTAAAATATCTTTTCATACCATTGTAAACAAAATGCATCTTGTGAACATGCAGCAAATAATTGCCTATTTTTATGAAACCAATGCAACCTATTCTATTCCAAATTATATGACTGGGCCTTTTGTTTGGAAATGTAACAATTATTCTAGTTGAAAAGAAAATAGGCAGTTATGTTAGAAAAGATCTCATCTGTATAAACCAAGAAGAAAAGTGAAAAAGACTTTTTATTTCTTTTAAGTGATCTAAATTTGGATTTATTTTATTATGTATTTATTCTTTGGTGATATATGATTAATTTTTATGAAATATCATGGAGTTTGAAATGAACAAATTTTAGTGATAAACACTATGCCAGAATAAAGAATATTACATTTGCATTCTGATTTGGAAAAAATAACTACCAGCACTGCTTATAACATAATTGGGTAAAGGGGCTTAAAACTTGAACTCAGCTGCACAACTTTCCAGAAATTTACAAACACAAACACTTCTCCTCTTTCCAGCCAGACAATAAAAATTTATAATCAAATAATATTAAACATTCATACGGGTTGCAACTCTACTGCTCAGCAGACCTAAGCAAAAGACATAACCTGTCAATATTGATTTGATTTTGGACCCAACTAATAAAAATATATAAATAACTTGACCTTGATGCTTGAGGCAATCCCAATATCAAGAAAACAAATCATTTTGGCCTATATGTAACACTGTCTTTTTCTCTTTTTTAAATAATACAATAAGTATATAAACTAAATATAGATAGTTATTATGATAAAAATGAAGTTTATATCAGTTGTATTACGATGAAATTTCTCTTTTTTTATTTACTTTCTTTTATTTAACACAAGTCTGTTTGATGAACAGCAAAACAGGCCGCACATCTGACTTTTGATAACATTAGGCTTATTAACCATTACAAGAATAACATCTTATGGCTAAATAGAAACAATACTTTCAGTTTATTTAGTCTGAAACATTTTAGAAACATTATCTACAATTTTATTAAATATGGCTTAAACATCATAGGACATATTTTGATTTGGAATTAAATTGCAAAATAACTCATAACTGGCTTTATGAAGGCTGAAAATTGAATGAAAATATTTTTGCCATATTTTTCCTTTATGGGAATTGATTATTCTTAACAACTGTCTCTTTCTGTCTGTATATTGTCAAGATATTGAAATCCCTATTTTCTGGCTTTGTTGTTTCAATATATTGATAGGCATTCTGTCATCAGTTTATGACCAAAAAATTAATTGGAGATTTTCACCTTGATTAAAATATTAAAAATAAACAGTAATAAAGATATAAAAAATGTATAAAACCATTTATGTTAATGATTCTTAGATTACAAATACCAAATATCTTGGAATCAAGAAGTAGTGAGCAGTTGCTGTTAAATGACTATGTGAATTTTTTTCTGCTCTGACAGACATGAGACACCATGCATGATTATTTTGCATCTCTTGAGTCTCAAATGCTGTCCATGCTGTCATCATAAAAAATTCTTCAAAGGATTTTTCTAGTTTTTCAATTCTTATGCCTGGAATGCTTTATATAATTTTTTTTTCTTTTTCTCGGGTCATGTGATCATATGAAATTAAATATCTTGTCTGACCTTATCTCTTTTGGAGATCTTAAATATTCAATGAAATTCTGTTTTGCAAAAGAAAGTAGTCAAAAAGAATACCTCTGACAAAAATGTACATTAATTTTTCTATATATATTTGTTAAAATTTTGTTTGTAATATTTCCTAATACCCAATATTGTATCAAAGCTAACTTATTTGCAACCTTCCTTTTTGTGGTGTTTTCTTTCGTCGTAACTGCAACAATTGACTAATGTCTGTGAAAGTTTAAAATTTGTGAAATTTTCTTACCTCTTTTGTGCCTTAAAGTCTAGAATTATTTTTTTAATTTTTTGATTCTGTTTATCTTTTGGTCATGTGATTGATCTTTTGGTCGATACTGCATGATTTTAATAGCATTTCCCTTATTTTCAGATTTTTTAACTTTTACTCTTATTAGATTAACCTATATTTTTCTCTCACTTTTTTCTACTGATTGCTCCCCCATAGATGTAATTTTTTTTCTTCATGAACAATATTTCTTTGTTTAAATTATTTAAAACTTTCTTTTTTTTCTGAAAACTTGAAACTCCAAACCCTAATTTTTCTTTTCCAGAATTTTTTTTAATCTACTTTGTTCTTCATTGAAAATTTCATATTTCAATAACAGTAGATGATACTACTTCTATTATTGTTATTTTATTCACAAAAACCCTGCCCCTAAAAAGAAAAAAAAATTGAAGAGTTTTGGCTTTCATTTCTTTTTATATTAAAAACCATAAAGAATTTCAAAATTGTTACTCTTTGAAATATAAAAAAAATTATTTTACTCATTTTGAATCTCAACTTGATTTTCTTCAGTGAATTGCAATTAGACACAAATTCATGTATAGCAGTCTTTTCTTATTTTTGCTTATTAAAAACTTTGCTTGGTGTTATCTGACTGAATATGCTTAAACTTTCTTTTTACTGCTTGATTATTTTACTGTTTTCACTGATTAACTGGATTTGTGAGTTATTTTTTTTGAGTAAACGTATTTAAATAGCTGTTTAATTCCTTCAGCAATCATATTCTGTAAATGAATATTTAAATGATTTTCCTGTAATTTACAAAAAATAAAAATTTTAAATACTTTGTAACATTACATAACTTTACATATTCATTGTTAGTGGGCACCAAATCATATTACAATATTCTACATTAGTATAATCACAATTCTTGGTCATGGGTTAGGGTTGACAAAAAGGGGGGTTTAAAAATTAAACAAACTTTATTCCAGCAGGTACATGAAGCATGAGAAAGGTCTGTCACTAAAGTGTATAATGGAAATTCAGTTGTGATACTTTTGTGAAGAACACATTGAAATTGCAGTAGGCAGAGCAGTAGTTTATTTCAACAGATACATCAGATGAAGTTCTGATTATGTCACTCTGAGGGAGACAAAGGGTTACATTTCGCATGTGAATACACGTGCATGCATGCATGCATGCATTCAGTGGCTAAGGAGTCCATTCTGTCTAAAACTGGAACAGATGTTTCTTAAATAAGAAATAATGAAGATATCTCATCAAAGTTTTACATCTTCATTCTTCCCATTTGTATGCTAAAATTAAATTGTATCAAGTTATCATTTTAAAAGTTTTCCTTGATTCAAGATATTCTTTTCTGTAAAGTATTAAGAGAAAATTAAGTCAAGAATGAACATTTTTTTAGCATTTGTTTTTACAATCCCAACCTTCCATTTCAGTGTATTATTTTCTTGTTTTCATATTGTAGTCTTTCTTGAGTTCTTTCTGCTTTCTTGCTATTTACTCAGGTGCAAACTAAAAATATAAAGCAACTTTTACCAGGTAAGAATATCTTCTATCTCAAATATCTCTCCAACAGTATGTCAGCTTTCCAATCTTTACATTTAATAAAGAAATTTACTAAATATCTGATTCTCAAACTAACTCAAAGGTACTATGGAAACTTTTAAATATTACAATTATATATTGTTTAATGTTTTTTAAAAATATCTCTTCTTAGCAATCATTAATTATACTCAATAATTGTACAGATG